ATCGAGGTGTGGCAGCTCTGTGCCAGTTAGATGACTGAGAGGATGCAATTCAAAACACTCACATTTTGTTGTTGTAAAATATACTTCACTCTTTAATGGCTGCTTTGCTGTGTTTTTTTTTAAAATGAAATTCGACCTAAAGACTATTGATGCGGATTTTAATGGGAATCTACTTCACAACTCTTACAAGTCAGACTCTGTGGATTTGCCTATCACTTCTGTGTCCCAGGAGTGTGTAGGACAAAGAGGGAGGAGATAAGAATATTCTGTTGTCAACAGAGGAAACCAATCCTCCAATCCTCAGCTAGAACAAACTGCCAAAGCTGTATCATAAAACTATAGTAACTGATATTCCTTGATCTGTCTCATAACTTCCATGGAAAACTCTAGGCAGCACATGGATTGGGAGCCTGCTATTTCTCAGGACAGTATGCTTGTCTCATAGTTTTTGTCAACTTTTTTTTCCTAAATTTCACTATTATTTACCTTCATGTCTCAGGTACCTGATAAATGGAGCTGTTTCCTTTCTCCCACAGCCTCTCTACACTTCCTCATCTTACTCTCTTGCATGTAGGACTAATAACCGCCTGAAATTTTGTACTTGTTTAAGCCCTTTCATCAGAGAAGCTCAAAGTAGCTTGCAAGCATTAATTAAAAATAAAATAGCCTGAACATCTTCAAAGAGCTGTGCAGTCATTAACTAATCCCCACAGCATGCCAAGAAGGTACTAAAGAAGCATCATTAGACTTGTTGTGTACACAGCACAAGAGAAGCACAAAGATCAAGGCAAACATTTAAAAAAACACTCACTGCATAAACATCCACTAATTTGGGGTCTTGTATTTTTTTTCATTGCCCAAATTGCAGCATTTTAATGACTCGCTCGAGGCCTCACAAAGTCAGAGCTGCAGCTGTCATTCAGCAGTTCCCAGTATCCTGCTATGAATGAAGGGATGCTGCCTTGTCAGGAGTTTCTCTGTTGTGTTGTACTCAGCTTTTTTAGGTGAAAACAGTGTTCATTGTTGGTTTATGAACCACTGGTTTGTTTTATACAGGTATTCATAAGATAGAGGATGTGTATGAGTTGCTTTAGCTGATGATTTGTGCAGTATGTAATTTCCTGGGCTGCTCTCCCTAGGAGAGAAAAAGTAATGGAATTTACTGTCGAGGGATATCTGTCTTAGAGATATTTTTCTGTGGTTCTTTCAAATAAACTTCCCAACCTTATTTCCTTAGCATTGTCTAGACCTTCCTGGAGAATGATAAGCTGGCTAAACATTAGGATTCACAGCCTTCCTTGGCTGAGATGCATTTTTTTAAACAAAAAGGCAACTCAGCTGTTAGTTGGATATGACAAACATGTGAAAAAATTTTGGACAAATGAAATACCTTGTAAGAGTAGTATTAGAATCTTTGGCTTTACAGGTTTTGTATTTTCTTTTCTTAATTAGAAGCACTCATTAAATAAACCACAAACCCCACCTGTAATTACTGCAAATCATAGATTCACAGCCTCGCTTGTAACTCAGAGCAAATGGAAAAAAATGCAGTATAGAGACATTATGGAGCAAGAGGTATTTTTTTCCTCAGAAATGGCAGAGACATTTTCAGCCAGGGATGCTGTAAGTCAGAGAGGGTTTGTACATTTTCTTAAGAGATTAAAACCTTTCTCTGATCTGCACAAAAATCCATTTCAGAAAGTTCTGTCTCTGTTGATTTTAACTGTTGGGCTGTTAAAGGGAAAATTATACAATGCAAAGCAAAAGATAATACAAAGGCCTCAAATTCTTTTACTCATAGCTAGAATGTTTTGCCTAGTAAGATTAGAAAAACTAGTGAAGGTTGCAGGTTTCTGCTCTAACTAGCATTCCTGAAAATGAATGTATAGGTATGATCAAGTAAGTGCCCTTTCTGTCTCTGGATGTTACTGATAGAATTCCCTATAGATAAGGAGCAGAGGTGAAAAGGTATTACAAGAACAAACTTGTAGGTAGATCAGATTACCTAACCCATCCTAACCTGTTTCAGTGCTGTGATACTTCCCCTGGAATAGATTGGGTCACTGCTGCAGCACAGTGAGCATTTCCTCACCCCAGACAACACTGCCAGGGACACTTAGTGAGCAGATGCTCCTAAATGATTGGGTGCTGGTAATGCTAGTGTTAAATTTGGTTCCATAAGTGCATGGCTTCATGAATTACAACCTCACTAATGATGGATTTAGAGACAGAACTTCCAGAAAGGAGGTGAGTTTTAGATATTCAAGGCCAGATACTGTGTCAGCACATTATTCCTGCACTGCCTACTAGTTAGCTTGCAGGAGAGTTCACGCAACTGACTCAGGATTTTTACTTCTAAAGAATATAAAGTTATCTTTCTCTTCTAAATTATTCTAAAGCATCTCCTGTCCAGTGTGATGAATTGGAAAGAAACAGTGTTTACTGGAAGGGGAGTAGGAGAAAGTTTGGGAAGTACAGGACAGAGTGTACATTGCCTGGTTGAATCCAGTGCATTACAAATTCTGCAGAACTCGGAGGCATTTTAGGACAACATCTTTTTGCAAGTAAAATTAATGTGTAGGAATGACATGTTGTGCAATCATTGGGATACTTCTTGACAGAAGTTATATGGTCCTTGGCATTTAACACAAGAGTCTCAGTTGAGCTCTCTCTGCCTGCTGGGCTGAGGTGCAAATGAAATGTTTTAAATTGAAACTCCCTCAAAATGGTACTTTTCCAGTTTCACCTTCAAAAATGAAGGACTCTAGTTAAGCAGATTCTCATTTCCATGCAGAGTTTAACTTCAGCTGTGAAAAGTTTTGCTCTCCAGACTTGACAACAGAGCCAATCTAATCTTTCCTTTAGCTGAACAGCCTGAGGTTTGAACAAATTTCAGTCTTTGCCCCCTGGTGCTGGAGAGTAGTTAGGATGAGGCACTAGTTAATAATTTATCAAACACTTCTTTTGAAAAATTCTTAGGCCATCTAACATTTTAAGACATCTCAGATAATGTGATGCTGTTACTGCAGTTCAGCTTGTTGGCTTCTCAGTTAAGCAACTGGATACTCACTGGAGTTACTCAAGGCTAGCTAAACCTTTTTAAAAATGCTTATTTGTATTTTCCTTTGGAAGTAACCTCAAACTCATATTCTTATTTCAATTTGGTGTAAATCTTCTGTAATTTTAGGGATGTTCTTTTGAAATAATGTACATCTTACAGGATGTGCCCAGGAAATAGAACATTTAGACTGCTCATTTACATAGCTGTTTATTCACCTCATGACTCACAGCATCAGTACCTGCATCAGCCACATGAACTTAAACAACTCAAAAGTTTCAAGTGATAGTTTAATGACAAAGAGTGAGCTTCAGCTTCCATCCAAACCCCTTGTCTGTGCACCTTCTGGTTTGGCTCAGCTTACACATCCCTACACTGGTATATCAGAATGAGAAGACTGGATTGGACTTCTTTCAATGAAGGATTAAGCAGTTTGTATCATCATTTTACATTTTTACTCTCTTTATTCCATCCCTTTACCTAGGCTGAAAGAGTTTTGTGTCTCCCTGGCAGCAGTAAATTTGCAAAGCTCCCACTGACAGGCAGAACAATTTTACCTGTTGCTTCCCCAAGTGAGGCATTCCCAGGAAATAATTATATGGGAATAGATACCTTTGTGGACTGGAGCCATAAAGGGCAGTGCGAAATTGGGCCAGCCAGTACCTGCCATGCTGACTCACTGCTCTTATTGTTTCCCTGTACTTTCTCATCGGCTTGTACTTTTTTCACTCTTCCAAGTGTGTTCCTGGGGGAAGGAGTGTCAGTCTGTGCTGCACATGACCACTTCTAACTTACTGTTCAGGTAGACAAGAATTTCTTTGTCATTCTCTGTTAGAGCTTGGAGAGTTTAGGATCAGTTGGAGAGCTCAAAAAATGACATTTCATTGATTTCCCCCACTTTTATAGGAAATAATACATACCGCACTTTTCAAATTCGCTTTTTTTTTTTTTTTTTTTGCCACTACTAACTTCTGGCTGGAGTAGGTTGTCATTGCAGCACTGTGGACTGTGGTTATGTAGTCTCCCAGTACAGTGTGGCTCTTGTCCACAGGTTGGTCTCATCGGTACTTCCAGCCTGAAGGACAGAAGGCCAATTTCCCTGAAGAGAACATGTAAACAGCCTGGTAAAGCCAGGGGACTGATAAGGAGCCAAAACAACTGGTGGCCAGTGAGAGGAAAACTAATTTCATTTTACTGCCATTCATGAGGCACCTGTGAAATAGAAATACCCCTCAAACTCAGGAGCCCTGTAAATACTTTGTTTTATGAAGTTGGGGTTCAGTCCATAATGTAAGAGTTAAAACCTAACACTAAAATAATTGCTGAGAAATCCAGTGTGCTGATTATGCTGGAAAGGTAACCATGTGAAAACACACAGTGAGGACACCAAAGCATCCCAAGATTTCTCCCCTGAAGGAAGTTTTCAGTCAGTCCATACATGGGAACCTGAGGAACCCAACACTGGAATGTTTTACTCAAGAGTTGTGTAATGGCATTCCAAACTGCATTTCACATCCACACCCTCTCCAAAGGAAGGGGAAAAGAGCTGACACAGAGGCTCTAGGCCATTCTGCAGTTTTCAAGAAGGAAAAAGGAAGAATAGTGGCACTTCTGCTGTCTCTTTGCTCCTGTCCGATCAGAAACTGGAACATTTCTCCAGGACAACAGGCAGAGCAGGGACAAGAGAGGAAGGAGAGCAGCTGCATGATGCAGTCACTCTGTTACCACTGTGCTCAGAAGCTCTGGAGGCACTGTATCTGCTTGATTCTCCTGGACTTCCTTGGTTTTGGCTGATCCTTACACAAGGCACAGTCTTGAGTCACAACTGAGCACACAGAATCCTCAAACCACCAGAGAACACTCCAAAATGAACACATTAACAGAGTTTGAAAACCTACTGTAATTTGTCCTGATGCCAAAGTAATATTTTATCACATCTCACTCCTTGGAAAGTGTTACTTTTGTTGACAAGTCAGTGGTTGAAGTGTAATAAATACTTGACCAACCTTATCCATCATACAAAATATATCATCAATTGGCTTTTTGGTCTCAGGAAATGTGTGACCAAAACAGCTTCATTCACAGTTGTGCACACAGATCACCTGGAGTGCAGTTCACAGCTTAAAGGATGTGATTACACATCACATCTTAAATGGTGGGTTATGAAACTTCATCATGGGATTTCAGGTATATTGGCTTAGAAATCTTCCTTAGCTTTTCCTGGTGTTGCAACACACGGCCTTGTTTGTAGGCAAGACCCATAGGAGGCAGATGGATCTGGAAAAGAAAAAATCCCACCAGTTAGGTGCAAATTGGGAAGAAAAAAGGCAGCATGTACAGAGACTAGGTTTCACTGAAATAATTTCTTCACACTTTGGAGAGGGCAACTGTACGGTCTCGAGCCACGTTATTAGATTTCTAGGAGGAGCACTCTCTGAGGAGTGATTAGTGGGGTAACTTTCAGGCCCTAAATGCTGTGTTTAATAAAATCCTATATGTTTTAGACCTTAGTAACCTTGTTTTGCAGTTTGATATCAGGCTGTAATTATAAAATATTTGTTGAAATAGGACTGCTGACAATGTTCCAGAACAGTAAGACCTAGAAAACCCTAAAAATTCCTGAGTAGATGTCTTGAGCACTGTGTGATTTATTCAAACCTACTTAACAAGTCACAAAATAACCCCAAACTGTAGGTACTGAAATCCTGCCTTCTTATTGTCATGATTGTATCTGCCACATTAAAATGCACAATCAGTGTCATTGACTCCACAAGCAGAAGGAGCAATAGGTGACAGGCTCTGCTTTGACTGACAAAGTCTTTATATTTCATAGGACTGTTAGTGGGAGTCATGCAGCTGTAACATCCCAGAGTGACTGAAAAATGTAGGTGGTAGCAGTCAGATGTTATTGGTGCTGAGGTTGTCATCCTCTGGAATGGCTTAGGTGCAAATAGTAGTAAAAGCACTGAATAAAGCAGCAGTAGAGATTTCTAGAATCTGAAAAATAATAATCATCCAGTTTGTCTAAGAGAGCTGATCCTTGGGGGTTTGAAACCAGTTAGAGCATGCATTTTAAGCCCATTTCTAGAAACACTGTTTGCCAGATGTCTATTGTTATTCTCTATACTGAAACAGATGCTAAGTGACCATATTCTAGGAAAGCATCCAGTGAAGATACAATTTAACTTGGACCATGACTGCCTTGATAAGGGAACTATAGATGTAAAAATATAAACTAATCAACAGGAGCAGAGCAAGTCTCTATGGGAGGCAGCATAAAGTACTACAGACAGAAGTGACTATAGTCAGGAAACTACATTGAATGGTGCAACAGAAAACACTGCTGCCAATTCCAGCATTTCAGTAATCCTGGACATGCTTTTCTCCAGGAAGAGGGGAAAAGAAGCAGCAAGGTAGACAAGTGTTTCATGAGACCTGATTTATGACCAGGAGAACAATTACCAGCAATGTAGGCTATGAAAATTATTGTAGATATGGCAGATGTAATTAAGTATTTTTTTTTCTCTTTTATTTGATTCCCTTACCATCTTTTTCTATATTAATTGGTCAGACAAGACTGGCTAAATATTCACAGGCTTTGGGAGTGTAGTTCATGCAACTCCATTTAGGTTTTGACTCCTCATTTTAAGCAGAAATCAGCCATTTTACAGGAAAGATGATAGATTGAGAATGTTTCAATGTACATTTGGCTCACTTGGCTGGAATTTAGCATGCACTGAAATGCCAGCTCTCCAAATGCAGTGCAGTGACAGCAATGTAAACTCATGGTTCTGTTGTGCAGGGAGAGCTAAGTGGGTAAGAGCTAAGTGGCTGAAGACTATGTGACTAGATTTATACTCACAGGTCTCGGGTAGGGGATGTTATAGTGAAGTCCAATCTCTATTCTTGCCTCACATTCTTCTATACATTGCTTAATCAGTTTAGGATCTGTTACCTAAGATCATACAAACAAATGTTTTGTACAAGTACAGCAATTAGCAATTGGAAGCTCAAGTGTAAATTATGCACAGCCATGTGACTTTCTTTAGCTTGTTTTGGCAATCCCAAGGATACAATGATTGTGTTTTTCACATCCATAAAAGGTAACATTAGTATTTTCCTTGTCTCAGCGTTCTGGGCTTGATGGTGCTGGATGTTAAGGCCCAAAAACTGTCACAACTGAGGCTATAGAAGGACGTTTTTCACCCAAACATGGTTATTTTCTCTGCAAAAAGACAATACACATACAAACTACTAATACAGCCATGAAAAAACCACTCACCTATTCGCCACTCTGTGAGGTAGCTGGAGGAGAAAGGAAAGATACTCCTTGGTGTACATTCTGTTATCATCCTATCCAGAAACTCCCTTTGAAGTCAGAAATGTGGTGTAAATTATGATTTAAATTAATTTTTTGATTTTGCATTACTTCAATATAGTGCCAGACCAATATGGGATATAAATAACTGTTGTGATCTTGAGTTACAAGAAGGACCTTTGATTCCCATGGAGTCTGTATGGCCCCTTTCAAAAGAGGTTTGAAATTTCTTCCTTAAGAAAAAAATGAAAGTGCTTCTTTTAAAAGAAGTGCCAATAATTGCTGCTTTGAAAAGGAAAAAGAAGCTGCCGAGCTCTGTTTGCCATCGCATGGGTAATGATACACTTAGCTAACTTTGTAAAGATCAAAAGCTGCTTCAATTACACAGGCAGTATCTTTGGAATTTAATTTTTCTTGGCACTTTTTTTAGTGAGAAAAGACCTTTCAGTCTTCTACAGTAGTTAATTAAGAGCTGAAGTGGTTTGAGTTTTCTCAGGAATGAAATTTAAACTCTAACCCTAATACAGCAGCTTTTAAGGTGAATGAAATTCTGGGAACTTGACTCTTCTATTCACATCTTAGCATCCAATCACTGAGACAGCGCAAAGAGAGTGAGGAGAGTAATTCACATATTCAAAACTCTATGGACACTTACGTGTTTGTTTTTCCTGAATAATGTCCTGGCTTCATTTTTAATGTACTCTTTCTCTTTAAGAGTTTCTTCTATCTGTCCTGATGCCGATTGCCATTTTTTGGCTATCTGGAATATCTTGCGGTAAAGGCCAAGAACTTGTTGTCGAGTTGCTGGTATCATCTGAAAAGGAACACAAAGCCCCAAACACCTGCATGAACATTTGAGTTGCTCTAAGGCCAGCAAGCTGTGCATTTTTCACACCACTGAATTAGTTTAAAAGTATTTCTACCATCTAGAGATATGCTGAGCTATATGAAAAAAACTGAAGTAGCTGTAAATAACAATTAGCTGTTGAAAGCTGAAGACCCAGTCCAGCAAAGTATTTAAACTGATAGTTAGCTCTATCTCCATTCAAGCAGTGTGAGCTCTTGCTCACAGTTAAGCACTCGCTTTAGTGCTGAGCTGAATCACAAACCTGGTACAAGAATGCCCAGGTTGTGTTTCACTGCTGTTTTGCAACAGACATTGGGCAAGTCACCGAAACTCGAAGCATCCCCTTCCTGAGACACTGTTGTACCCATGCTGACCCTATCTGTACACAGCATCTTGAAATCTGTGAGTGAAATACATCACAAAGTCACCATGATACTGTTGAAAACCTGTAGAGGTTTCAGGGGCTGAGAAGCTTATTTGTGATACACGACAGTAGGCAGTAATGATTCAGCTGGAGTCTGATGTGATGAAAAGGTGATGAAAGCTATTTTATCTAAGCACTGCAGGAGAGGCAGACTAACTGTGGATTTAGCAAAGTCCTGAATATCTTGATTTTCAGAGAGCTGTGTACCTGCTGAGCCCACTGAATCAGCCTCCAGGTGTGATAAAAATATTTGTCAGAAAAAAAGAATGAAATCCTATTCTTATTTTATGTAAATGAGTATTTTATCATTTAAGTGGTGACACTGTTTCCTGCCAGACCACAAACAGCCCTGAGACAAATCCACTGCTGGAATAACAACACTTCTGACATGGATTAATTTAGCAGAAACAGTAACTTCTGCTTTAGGGGCACCACAACTATCAGAGGTACTTTACTATCCCAAAGCAAGATGCAGCAGCACTGCCAAGTAAGTATATGGGTGCAATGAGGAAAAAGTGTCAAGAACAGGACATTATCTGACTGTCTCAGGAGCTCTAGTTACTTTGGCTGAATGTACCCTGCAATCAGACCTGTGTGCTGGGAATGGCAAAGTGGAGCAGGGTAATTCAGACAGCCTGACCTATCCCCTGCAGGGAGCTCGATCCCTGGCTGCTTCCTAATGCACCCAAACTCCTGTGGGAAGCCTGGCAATGTGCTGTTGCTCATCTCCTGGGAGCCTGTGGCAACTTCTGTTGTTCTGGGGAGTAGCCCAGGGGTTTGAGCCTAAGTCTTCTCAGGCCATAACCCTTCTCAAGTGACTGTGCTCCTGTGGCTTCAGACACTCACTGGCTTTTCCTCACCAAAGCTGGAATTACAGATACTGGAATTACAGATACCTGAAGACAGGAATTGGCCCATAGTTCTTTTTCATTAAAAATCCCAAACTATTTAATCTTAGCCTTTTTTTGTCTTAACTGTTGTTACAATCTAAAGACCTCTGGTGTTTTCATGAACTCTGTTTTTCTCTGATTCTTAAGATTGAGAACATTTTTATTTTGCTATTTGTATTTTAACATTTAACCAATCATATATTTTCCCCCACTTAGAAAATTATTCTTCCTACCCAACAGAAAGTACTTCTAGTAAATGTTTATGCTATTTCTAGGAAACAAATATCCACAATAAAACAGCTCATCAAGCACTTTGGAATAAGTGCTCCACTTTACCCACTCTACAGCTCCATTTCAGGCAATAAAATCAGTCAGACACGAAGCCACAGATGTACCTGGATCTGAAAACTCATTGCTCCCCCCTGCCATGTGCATGTTTTGTACAGGAAAGAACCAGTTCAGTTACAAGGGCTGACCTAGCACAAGCTGAGTCCCAAATCTTGGCCTCACCCCTCTGCTGCTGTCTGGAGGTGTCACCTCTGTGGAGTTGGTAATACTCTTTGCTCCCTGCTGACAGCTAATAAAAGGCAGTACTGTGCTAGGAACCTTCAGCTTAGGTTTTCATGTAATCCATAAAGAAAACAAGAGGAACAATGTCAGGGGAAAAAATGTTTAAAATACAGGTTTCAGTCCTGATCCACACAATGGACAATTTCCATGGCCACAGCTTGGGACAGTTGCATGCCCTTTGTTCAGAACTGATCACATCTGTTCCTCTTGGATTTTAATCATACCAAAAATCTGTTTATAATGATTTTACTTAAAAGCTGAGAACCAACACTTTTCCCCCACTAGTTGCTTCCACTCCCCCACCTAGAACTTACCTTTTCATTCTTTTAACTTCTCCATGTTGGAATTGCTACAGAACTGTGTAGCCCTTCATCTAGTCATGGGCTGCACTTTCGTATTCTTGCTCTCCTTCCCACATATGATGGATGATGTAAAAAAATTAAGCAGCTGTTCATGTACACTCAGCAACCAGCTGATCCCAGGGCTCATTTAGTCAACAACTGCTAACACTACAGACCTGCCCATTAGCCATTTCTGCAAAGATTCATAAATAGGGTGTGAGGAGCCCTTTGCAGGTCGGGGACCCTTTTCTATCACAGAAAAGGATGAGAGCACATAAGACAAAATTCAAAGCCTGGGTTAGATTCTGATCTGAGTGGGAGTGTAAATAGGGAATAATTCCACTGAGAACAAAATTACTTCCAACTTAAAATGTTGTAAATGAGATTGGAATTTTTTCTTTGGTATAAACAGAGCCCACACTGACAGAAATGTAAGTGATGGTACAAGTCATGTATCAGGTGTAATTTCATCAAGTGACACTACTTGTATTAGTTTTGTGGGTGTGCAAAATGATTCTGAGTGGGATAGAAAGGAAGATAAGGGAGGCTTTCACGTCCTTGTAGTTACTCATCTTGCAACTTACATCTCTGGCATTTAAATCATAATTATATTTCACATCTCTGGAATGCTAAGTGGATGTTACACCACTTTCCCACTAACACCCATCTTGTGGTAGTCACACCCATTGTTTAACTTCTACCACCCTTCATTTTACTGCAGAACACAGCCCACAGAGGTTAACCACAGGCGTTTTTGTCAAAAACTACAGAGCTATTGTATTAGCTGAGCAAATTTTGGGTGTCTGCTGCCACAAAGCAAACCAGGAGAGGTCAAAGGTAGGTGTGTATGCACAGAGGTGTCAATGGGCAGGCTGCAGGCTGGTTTAGAGCCCACTGAGAGGATTTGGGCTTCGGGAGGACGCCAAGTGTTGCCTCCCAAACAAGCAGTGCCGGATGCAGGGGCAGAGCCTGACAGCTCTGTATCTCTCTCTTATCTACATGCAAAGGGCTGTTATCAACACACAGATCGAGCACATGAAACATCCCATTGTATCCAGCTGGCAGAGGAGGTTTAAGCAGTTAAATGAGTTACTGCATGGTGAAGATGCAAACTTTTTTCACTGTTAATTAAAACAACTAATCCCTTAGACTATAAAATTCAGTAAGTTCTTCGTTCAGGAAACAAATACACATTCCTTTGGAATTTTTGACTCAAAAGTTCAATAACCTGAATTATCAGTGAAACACAAATCTTCTTTTGCTATTTGCCGCCTTGTTTAGAATTTACAGTTTTTATAAAACAACAAAAGGAATCTGTCAACTGCACAGTAAGATGACCCAGTAGTGCAGTGTCAAGGCTTCATGGACTCTGACTACAGTATACAAGCAGCTAAATCACAGCTGCTTCCCAGTGAGGGATGCTTGGCTGAGAATGCGTGTCCAGCACTCTCCTCTCTGCACAGCCCCTTTGCTGAAGTTGTAAGTCTAATTTATTTCATCCTTTCTTCTCAAGTCAAGCATTAGCTACTCACTTTAAACATAAAATCTGCCAGCAGTGAGTACATAGAGGATTTTAGAACACAAAGGCTGAAAGTAATAGCCCATGGGGGAGAAAAAAGAGGCTATTTTAAAACAATGGATCTCTTCTTTTACACCCCAGCTAACCAGGGCACGTGTCAGTGACACACACTCAGTGCTGGTGCTGAAACCCTATTTGCTCAGGGGAGGAGATGGTGGGAACAGAACGCTGTGTGACATAATTTGAAAAGGCAGTTCTGAACGTCCCAGATGTAAAATGTTTTATTTAGGAGTAACACAACTCCTATCTGACAGCTGGTTTGCTACTGGCAAGGAGTCCTAAAGACACAGTGACCAAGTGCTGGGTTGTCTGCCTTCGAACCCAGCCATGGGCACATCTCTGCTGTGGAAAGAAATGATGTCACTCAAGACCATGGTGCATCAACACTGTAGTATGGAACACCCTCAGCTCTCCTGCATGACCATCTACAGCTCCTGTTTGCAAATGCACTCTTGGGCTAACGTTTATTTAAAGAGATGCAGAAAAATGTGCATATCTGGCTTTTTTTTTTTTAAGAGCTAAATGATCCTACTTAGTAGAAGAGTGACCTGCAGTCTCTCTCCTGCTGCTAATGCAGCAGATAATCAATCATTCCTTTCACAGCTCTCCACAGCAAAGAGAGGTCAGGAATCCATATTCATCTTTCGTTCAAGTCTGCCAAAATGAGTCTGTGGTTCCAAAGGCAGCACTGGATTTGGTTTGTCATTTCCTTGAGGGACAACAACTGAGACAATGAGTTCCTGTGAAACAAGGGGAAGAGAAGGGGCCACAGATTCCTGTGATAGCTGGGCAGGTCACATGCCTTCCAGCAATTTTACATTTCAAAATTCAGTTTCCACAAAAGTAATTTTATCTTCTTTTACTCAAATCAACAAATTAGTAGCCTGTGACAGTGAGTACCCTGCAAATACCAAGCACACGTGGCTGCAGTGTGTACCTGGCAAAGTGAAAACTTCATTTTTGTTCTTGATTGAACATTCATACCTTTTTCTTTTTAAGATTCAGCCAAAACCAAATCATAGCAAAACCTCAATCACAGCTAAAGTATTCCATCTCCACATGAGGAAAAACAGTGGTGTTACATCCTCTTTTCTACCAGTGACACAAGCCTGCAAATTTAAAAGATATTCCCATCAAGGATCAATTTGACTCAAAGTATTTCTCACTGTTTCCATCTACAAGCTGCAATCATAAATCTATGCAGATTTGGTGAAAAAGAATGCAGTTACTGAATCGAGATATTCAGTAATAGTATCTGAAAGGAGAGTGACTTTCACAGGGTTTAGGATTCTGTCATGCCTGTTTCTTTCTGGTGGCAAACTGAAGTGATCTGAAACCCCAATCGACACCTCTGAACCAGCCTAAGTCATTGTACTCACACTGTTCATCGGCTGAGCTGAGAACTCTGCCATTCTATCCATGCCTGGGATTTCTGACTGAACTTAGGTCTCTTTTAAGCTTTCTCTTACATATGGAACAGTCTTTTGATCAGAAAAAAGGGAACAGCATGCAAAGAGAATATAATTAAATAGTAAAAGCAAGGACATGGATTTTATCACTGTTTGCCTATGTCATTTGAAATAAGCAAACTTGCAGAAAATTAGGATTCTACAACATTCTTTTCATTTGAATAAATGTGAGTGGAAACCTTCACTAGTCCCTTTTGATCACAGAGTTTTCATCCTCTTGTCTGAGGTGGCTGAGGCATTATCTGGTTTTAGTAGGACACAGACTCTTGCTCTGAGAGTGCCTCCTGTGCCATCAGAGCCTCAGGAAGAACAGAAATGCTGACTTAGACTGTGGAGAGGGGGAAGGGAAACAAAAAAAATTGCTTTACTTATTTCTTAGCTTTCTCCTGAAAAGCACACAGTGTCCAGGTAAACTCTACAGCAATATGATCTTGTCTCTAGTCTTGTCCAACCCTGTCAGTCATGCTCCTCATGCAGTTAGAACCATTTCCTCCTCCTCTGTGTTTAGTTCTCTATTACTTACAAGCAGAGAAAGAGGTTTTAATGCAGTGCAACAAATTTAGCAGAGAAAATGAAGTCTCAGCTATCCTTGGATGGCCTTGCTTATATAATATAGAAGCATACAAAAATATAACAACATGGACACAAACCCCAGTATGGATTTATGCACCTTATTCATACCTTGGCTTCCAGCCAAATGCAACTGAATGCATGCACAGAAATATTTCCCAGCACTGGAAATGCTCCCAAGCTCCAGAACAGGTATAAATATTAATGCTAGCAGAGACACAATCCTTCCTGCCTCTTTTCTTACTTGTTCTGATGGTCATTCAATGAAACTCATTTCATGAACCCTCTACTTCAGTCTCCACATGCTTCAGTCCCAGCATATTGACAGACACAATTTTTAGTCAGTTTTTGAACACATATGTTGAAAAAGGAGCTGTTTTTTTGGAAATCAAGTGTGTGAATCCCATTCAGATTTGGGAGTTTTGCCAAGAAAGCCTCACACCACGTGGGCAGCAGATTCTCCTGAGTGGTGGATGGACCAGCATTTGGGCCCTTGTGGGCAGAGGAACAGGGAGCTGGGGAACATCTTTTTCCAGAGGCTTCTCCTGATTCCTGTGGGAGAGGACCCTTGGGGCTGGCAGTGACGGGAGGGGAGCTCAGCTCTGACACGAGCTGCAGGTCAGCAGTGACAGCAGTGGTTTGGGACTGGCACACAGCACCTGCTCCACACATAGCACTGGGGAGCCAGGACAGCCCCAGCCCTCCCTGCCTCCAGTGCCCACAGCCAGGCACAGGGGGTGGCACACTCCTCCCTCGGGGGGTCAGGGCTGTGGGCACTGAGCACTGCGGCATGGAGCACTATGGGCATGGAGGGCTGTGGGCACAGAGTGCTGTGGTTGTGCAGCACTGTGGGCATGGAGTGCTGTAGCATGGAATGCTGTGAGCACAGAAGGCTTTGGGCATGGAAGGCTGTGGAACACAGAAAGCTGTAGGTGCAGAGGGCTGTGGGTATGGAGCACTACGGGCAGAGAGCGATGTGGGCACTGAGCGCTGTGGGCACGGAGTGCTGTGGGCACAGAGAACTGTGGGAACGGAAAGCTGTGGGTACTGAGCATTGTGGGTATGGAGCGCTGTGAGCACGAAGCACTGTGGGCACGGAGGGCTGTGGGCACTAAGCACTATGGACCAAAGCGCTGTGGGCACTGAGCGCTATGGGCACTGAGCACTGTGGGCACTCAGCGCTGTGGGCAGTGAGCGCTGTGGGCACTGAGCACTATGGGCACAGAACAGAACGCTCACTGAGCACTATGGGCACTGAGCGCTGTGGGCACTGAGCACCGTATCACGGATCACTCCCTCCCCCCGCACCCCCAGCT